CTATTTTTAGTAGAGACGGGGTCTCGCTCTTGCTCAGGCTGGTTTCGAACTCCTGAGCTCAAACAATCTGCCCGCTTCGGCCTCCCAGAGTACTAGGATTACAGGCGTGAGCCACCGCGCCTGGCCAGCAAGGAATTTTTAATGAAAATTTTGTAATAGCATAGGAAATATTTGTATTAAATGTTAGCAGCAGGGTACAGATTTCTGGTAGGATCCTAGCTGTATATATCTTTTTTTTTTTTTTTTTGAGACAGAGTCTTGCTTTGTCACCTGGGCTAGAGTGCCATGGCATCAGCCTACCTCACACCAACCTCAGACTCCTGGGTTCAAGTGATCCTCCTGCCTCGGCCTCCCAGAGTGGTAGGATTACAGGCATGAGCTACTGCACCCGGCCAGATTCCAGCTATATATATCTTTAACATGTGTTTAAAAAAGGAATGGGAGGAAATACAAAGTTAGATGTTAGCAAAAAAGTTAGATTTTTTTTCAGGAGATGAATCTGTGAATTTCCTTTTCCTTTTTCTCTAGTTTTCTCTATTTTCCAAATTTTCTGTAATGAGTTTACAGTATTTTCCTGATAGACAAAAATATTCTTAACCCTTTTTTTAAATGTTTGATGCCATTCTTTGTAATTCTATGGGATTGTTCTGTTTCCATCCCTTTTCTCACTCATCCCCCCAACAAAAAGTAGAAAATTCCACAGATATTATTACTCTGTTACTCATCAGTATATAAATACAAGAGACTGTACGTATATAAAATATGGCCAGGCTTATATCGTTCCAACAGGAGCACATACCATTATGCTGAAGGAAGGATCCAGAGAGGAGAGAGATGCCTACCCCACCTGCTGCAGCTCCTTTTCTTTGCTGATGATTATAGCTGTGGTGTAGTCTTGTTTCGAATAGTAAGGTATCCTAGACTATTTCAGTCAGACAATACCTCATGATCTTCTTTCTACTCTTTTTTTTTTTCCTCAAAGAATAACTGCACAAAGACTTGCCCACCTGAATAAGTGCTTGATGAACTTTAAGCTAGGGAATTTCAGCTATCAGAAAAACCCTCTGAAATTGGGAGAGCTTCAAGGAAATCACTTCACTGTTGTTCTCAGGTAAAGAACTGCAAGTAGGAACACAGACCAGAGAGGGTCTGGCTGGGTCACCTTGAGTCTGTTTGTCATGTTTGGTAACAAGGTCCAGGTTAGCTGCTGCTGACACAAGTGGCAACAAGGGAAAGCAGAGCAAGGCCTGACTCTGGGGAAATTTGACACCACACCCCTCTAAAAATGTAGAAGAATCTTTGGAAAGACACTGTCCCTTTCAAATATTGTGTTAAGACAAAGAGCCTGATAATTCCACTTATGTGAGATACCTAGAGTAGGAAAATTCGTAGACACAGAAAGTAGAATAGGGGTCACTGGGGAAAGGGGCAGGGAGGGGAATGGACAGTTATTGCTTCATGGGTACAGAGTTTCAGTTTGGGAAGATGAAAAGGTTTAGGAAGTAGATAGTGGGAAGGTTGCGCAACAGTGTGAATTAATTAATTGTTTGATTCATTGAGATGGGGTCTGGCTGTATTGCTCAGGCTAGAGTACAGTGGCATCATCATAGCTTACAGCAACCTCACACTCCCGGACTCAAGCGATCCTCCTGCCTTAGCCTCCCAAGTAGCTGAGACTACAGGCAGGCACGACCACGCCCAGCCTGTGAATGTATTTAATGCCACTGAATTATACACTTAAAAATGGCTAAAATGGTAAATTTAATGTTATTTATATATTTTACTACAATTTTTTTCAATCAAACAAAGAGCCCTCAAGAGGTAGAGGGAAAGCTGCAAGGGGGAAACATGGAAGCCAAGCCATAGTCATTTATGATACATGTCCCTGAATGTGTTTGACTGTAAATTTTTTTTTCTGGATAATTTGGGCCCCTGCAGAAATATAACAGGAACCGATGACCAAGTACAACAAGCTATGAACTCTCTGAAAGAGATTGGATTTATTAATTACTATGGAATGCAAAGATTCGGAACTACAGCTGTCCCTACGTATCAAGTTGGAAGGTTTGTATTTTCTTAACTTTCATCTAAAAAAGCTCTCTCATAACAAAGAAGCAGTTTTGTGTTTGGTAGTGTTTTTAATTATTTCTGGATTCCCTCATGTCTGGGGCAAATGAACCACTTTGTCTTATAGCTTTTGTTTTATTTTAAGATAATGTATGCACAAGGGAAAAAAAAAATCAGAATTCAAAGGGATATGACCTGAAAAGTAAGTTTTTCTCCCACCCTTGATACCCCATCCAGAGGTTCTATTTAGAAAAAAAAACAAAAAAAAAAACAGGTCAATCTTGGCACAGTAAGTGACCCAACAGTAGTCAGTTCCGTAAGTGAGACTCAGAGTGGCCAAAGATGATACGTTTTATGATCTCTGTTACCAACTTCGTTAAACTTTGATCTGCCCTTCCATTACCCCTTAAACAAAGTGGTAGAGGTTGTAATTAGCAAAGTGGAATTTCTTTTAAGAATGCTGATTTACTTTTAGATAGTAAGAAATCCCTCTAGGGTAAGCTAGGGTAGGAATCTCATGGGTAAATACTTTGGTTCATAAGCCTACTTATGGAGTCCTCCTGCCCAGCAGAGACTGTGTTATGGAAAGGAATTTTTCATGTGAGAGTTAGAATTGCGGTAGTTACAAGCTGGGAGTGATCTGAGAGTTCATGTTCTTCCTTGTGTTTCAGACCCTTCATTTTAGCAAAAGATAGAACTTAGGCTTAGGGAGGTCTGCCTGAATTCACTAGTTCGTCAGCTGTAGTCTGATAATAGAGTTTGCTTGACTTCCAGTCCATTGTTTTTCAGCAGCTAACTAACAGGAAATTGCATTTGTACGTGTGATTTTTAAAAGCACAAAATGATAAAAGTCTATCATGTATTTCCTCTACCTCTTTGAGGTGGTGTTGAGAAGGTTAAAGGCTCAGGTGAAATCAGACTTGAGTTCTGAGCCTCAGATTACTCATCTGTAAAATGGAGATAATAATACCAACTTTGCAGGGTGGTAAAAGTGAAGTGAGATGATGTTTATGCAGCACCTATTTCTATGCCTAGGTATAGTAAGCGCTCAATAAGTAGAAAGTCATATTTTAAAATTAAAGCATATTAAGCAAAGAAAAAATTATTAAGATAATTATAGTAATAATAGTGACAAAATAATATGTTTTTAACCTTGCTAATGGTCAGAGGACATTGATAAAGGTAGTAAAGATGGTAATTATATTAAGGGATAGAATATTTAAGAGAGGGTTATATCAACCTATAAATTTGTAATTAATTTGGCAGAAGGACAGCCATGGGACCCTGTAAGTTTTGTACTCCAAAGATAATATTAATAGCTAGTTAAAATGAGATCAAGTTTATCCAGGAAGAAAAATTTTATAACATCCCTAAATGGCAGTACAGAGTAAATTCAAAATTCTAAATCATTCATTTCTACATTCTAAGAATATTTCCTGCTTTCCAAGAAACCCACTGTTAACCACCATAGACCCTCCTGAGGGAAGAAACAAACTCTTAGTTTATAGTTTAAAGATGGAAAAATGGTTTGTATCCAAAATATTAAAAACTCTTACAACTCAACGACAAAAAGACAACCCATTCTAAAACTAGGCATAGGATCTGAATAGACCTGTCTTTAAAGAACATAGACAGATGGCCAGTAAGCACACAAAAACATGCTTAGCATTACTAATCATCAGGAAATCCAAATCAAAACCACAGCGAGATACCACTTCATACCCACTAGGATGGCCAAAATGAAAAATACAGACAATAACAAGTGTTGGCAAGGATGTGGAGAAATTGGAACCCTCATACATAGCTGGTGGAAATGTATAATGGTACAGCCATTTTAGAAAACAGCCTAGTAGTTCCCCAAAAGTTTAAAGGTTGAGTATAGAGTTACCACATGACCCAGCAATTGCATTCCTGTACCAATGAGAATTGAAAGTCATATGTTCACACAAATGTTCATAGCAGCCAAAAAAGTGGAAACAACCCAAATGTCCATCTACTGATGAATGGATAAACAAAATGTAGTATACAATAGAATATTCAGCAATAAAAGGGGATAAAGTATGGACACATTCTACAACATGAATGAAAACATTATGCTAAGTGAAAGTAGCCAATCACAAAAAGCCATGTATTATATGATTCATTTATATGAAATGTCCAAAATAGGCAAATCGAAAAAGAAAAGGCTGGGGCAGAGCCAATTGGAGTGACTGCTGATGGGATAGGGTTTCTTTTTAGGGTGATAAAAATGTTCTAAAATTGAGGCTAGGCATGGTGGCTCATGCCTGTAATCCCTGTACTTTGGGAGGCCAAGGAGGGAGGATCGCTTGAGGCAAAGAGTTCCGGACCAGCCTACGCATATGTTGCCATCTCTACAAAAAGTTTTTTTGAAAAAATTTAGCCAGTGTGGTGGCTCGTGCCTATATTCCTAGCTACTCAGGAGGCTGAGATGAGAGGATCACTTGAATCCGGGAGCTTGAGGTTGCAGCGAGCTATAATTATACCATAAAACTGTTTAAGATGTTATAGTGCAAAGATTGCAAATCATATATCTGATGAGGTGCTTGTATCTAGAACATATAAAAAACTACAGCTCAACAACAACCAAAAAAACCAATTCAAAGATGGGCAAAGGACTTGAATAGACATTTCTCCAAAGGTATACAAACCAGTGCTCAACACGACTAGTCATTAGTGAAATACAAATTGAAACCACAGTGATATTTGGGTGATGGGTACAATAAAAACCCAGATATCACCACTATACAATTCACCACTTGTACTCCTAAATCTATCAAAATTTTAAAACCACCCACAATGAGGTATCATTTCATACCCATAAGGATGGCCGTTACCAAAAAAAATAAAATAAGTATTGGTGAAGAAAGATGTAGAGAAATTAGAACCCTGTGCTTTGCTGGTGGGAATGTAAAATGGGGCAGCCATTCTACAAAACAGTATGGTGAGTCTTTAAAAAAATATAGATTATGTTATGATCCAGTAATTCCACTTCTGGGTATATACCCAAAAGAAATGAAAGCAGGAATTCAAATAGATACTTGCACACCCATGTTCATGATAGCATTATTCACCGATAGCCAAAAGGTGGAAGCAACCCAAGTGTCCATCAAAACAGTACATAGTACATACATACACTAGAAATATAAGTCAGCCTTTAAATGTAGGAAAATTTTCACACATGGATAATCCTTGAAAACTTTATGCTAACGGACATAAACCAGTCACAAAACAGCAAATATTGTGTGATTTCTCTCATATGAGGTTCCTAGGGTAGTCAAAATGATAGAAAGTAGAATGGTGGTTGCCAGGCATTGCGGGAGGGGTAGGCAGGGAGTTGTTGTTTAATGGGTACAGAGTTTCAGTTGGGGAAGATTAAAAAGTTCTGGAGATGGATGGTAGTGATAGTTGCACAATAGTAATGTATTTAATGCCTCAGATTATATACTTAAAAATGGCTAAATTTTATGTTATGTGTATTTTACCACAACAAAAGGTGGAAGAAGGAAAAATAAAGTAAGAAAAATATAAAACATCTTTTTTTTTTTTTTTTTTTTTTT